TCTCCTTTCAACATGACTTGGATCTCGAAGAGTTGGATGAGTGGCGCACAGAGGAAACAGATGAGGATAGTTGGATCGATGACCCACCAATTCAAACGCAAACTATAGATGCCTCTACCAATACAGACGCAAACGAGGAAAATATCGAATTGGATTTATTCGAAGGAAAGCATGAAAACAGTCAAGATATGGTTATATTGTTCCTGACAGCTCAATAGACAAAAAAAAAAAAAAAAAACAAAAAAAACAAAAGAAGAAAGAGCTAAAGCATAAAAGTGGTTTATCAGTTTACACAGTCGGACTTAAGTACAAGAACTTAAAGACTAGAAAAAATGCAAAAAATTAAAAATAAAAAAAAAGAGAAAAAGCAGTTTACAACACAACAACATAATTAAAGACAATAAATCATTCTTATTGAAAACAAAAGAAAAGTTATATACAACAAACACATGTAGTTATGAAGTTTTATGTAGTTAGCAAAATATTGATGTTGTTAAAAAGATCTAACAGAGTTTACACCAGATTACACCATTGCTGAAATTTCAGTTAATAGGAAACAATGAAAACGATTCATTAAAAATTCTATTTCGATTCATAGACAACGATGAAGAAATGTTACAGAAATCCTACTCGCATCACGAGTACGCAATGTTAGCTCAACCAACCGCCATCGCAACGACAGGAAGAGTTATATTAAGATTTGAAATTAATAACTTTCCTAAGATGACCTCTGGCAACTGCTTATTTAAATACAAAGTTAGCGCTAATTACTTAATTGCTTTACTTTGAACAATGACTTCTGGCCACTATACTAAATATTTGTTGCTATTTGTAAAAATTTCGCAAAACAATTACTCACTGCGTAAACTTTTGAAACAACGTAGAATGCCTCCTTTCATTGACTCGTACGGTGACAGTGCAGTGACGTTATGTTACAGTTTTAATATAATGCGATTAACGAAAAACCTTCGGCCTGTTCGAGACATGTCTGCAATAGTTATTCCGAAGTTCATGACAATATATCTCAAGGTTATCTCAGCAACTTGAAAATGAAATCAAAACTTAGAAACCCGAGGAACTATAATTACATGGTTTAGTGTTACGAACAAAGTGCTTACGAATTAGATCGATCAGGTTATACGGGCCAAGAAGAATGAATTTCTTATCTGCATTCTTACTTCTTACGTTACAAGAAGTCACATTCCGCAATCGTGGTGTAGGTTATAAAGAGGTTCGACCTAACTACTTCTTTTCAATGTGCCTAACTGTTATTGTTTGTTTCATTTGTTACATACTCCGCCCATTTTTCTAGTAAAGTAATCCACCTTTTTGTATAAAAATTGTTGGTAGCTAAAAACAATTTATTCGTTTTCATATAAACATTTTTTTTCTGTTTTTTTTTTTTTTTTTTTTTTTTTTGTTAACTTTTTTCCACATCTATATATATATATATATATATATACATTATATATATGTACATTAACAACAAAAGTCAAACAAGACGCCATGTTAAACAAGTTTTAATGGTTAATTTAAAGCGGACGATAATAGCTACAATAATAATAATAAAATTGAATAAAGTGAATGACGGAAACTGACAGTTGTCTACAAGTAGAAAAATATATAAAAAAAAAAATTAAATAAAATTAATAATGGTTCTGCAAATAAAACATTAAAAAGGAAGCATGGAAAACAAAAAGAGCATATTCTGACGTTTTCACTGAAATCTCAGTAAAAATTTAATCACCAGTGTAGGTAAAAGTTTAAATTAAAAAGAACAACAAGTTTTTAATTCTTAAAATACTCTAAACATGTAAATGTTCTCTAGGAATTCTATAACGATGCCATTTAAATAAAAGATGATATATTTTCGTAAAGTAACAAATTATAATAATAATAATAATAGTAATAATATTAATGATAACTAAAATAAATATCTATATCTAAGGTTGTAAAATTTATTAAAGAAAAAAAAAAAAAATTTGCTGAATTAAACAAAAGAAAATTTAATGATGGAAAAATCCTTCAAATTTTCTTAAGACGTAATATTACAAACAAAAAAAAAAAAAAAAAAAAAAAAAATGAAAGAAAATTATATTCAAGAGAAACGTTTAGAAATCAATTATTAAAAAAAACCAAAAGATTAATTAACAATTATTATTGAATAAAATGTAAATAATGATTTATATGTAGTAAACTAAAACTTTTTTAATTTGTTTAAAACAAATTCATCTTGTGGTGGTCGTCCCATGTGAAATTAAACTTTAAAAAAGCTTAATTTATTTAAAAAAAAAAAAAATAAATAAATAAATAAAATAAAATTGATTATATCATAACACTTAGAAACCGCACACGATAACTAATTTATATAAAAAGCTATTAAGAAAAGAACAAAAAAAAAAAAGGAAACGATTATCTTATATAAATAAAGATTAAAAATTATACTTATATCTCTAATACTGTGATCTCATGTGTATAATAAATTATATTATGATTATTATTATCATTATTATTATTACTATTATTAATAACAAGAGCCTTAATAATATTTCCTTTAAACTAATAAATTTTTTAATTTTAATTCTCATCATAATTTATAGCAAATTTTTTTTTATTTGTTCTCTTTTTTGTTTTAACATCACTTTAACACAAAATTAAAACAATTCATTTTAAATGAGAAAATAATACATAATAATATATGTTTTTGCCATTTTAGCCAATTAATTTTTAAGTGTACATTATATCGCTATACCGATGAGAGATGAAAAAAAAAAAAAAAAAAATTTATTGAAATTTGTTTTTAAGATTAATATTTATTTTAAGAAATGTTCCGTTGCGCCTTCAAAAAATGTTGCTTTTAGTTTTCAAATAATTTTAAGCCTTCCCTCCATCCTTTTAATTTGTTAAAACAAATTTTCTTTAATTGTGTTATTTTGATCAAATCACTTCAAGTTCTGTTTTTGTTAAATTTTATTTATTTTTTTTTTACTATTTTTATTATTATTATTATTTTTTTTAAGATATTATTTTGCTTTTATCCTTTTTGTTTCGAACATTGTCTAAAAACAAAATACATAACACTTTTTTTAAATATTAAAACCAAACCAATTGCTGTTTTATTTTTTATTATTTATTTGAAGTTAATCAATAAACAATAAATACGGATGAGTTGCTTTAAATCTTGAGCATTATTCTCAAGGAAACCCATGAACAAATCAAACTTTCACCTTGGGCTGCAGCTGCCCCCTGTCTTTTTCCATTTCCTGATCTCCTCCTAATTATCGCCGGGTTTTAGGCAAAGGCATAAAATTTACCAGTTGAGCGGCGGCCTTTCGTTGTCTCTTGACCTTTCCCCACTTCTTTGCGCACATTGCCGTGTTTCACGCATAGGATATATTCGCTGAACAATTGGTCATATTGACAAAACAATTAAGTCGCCTGGAAGGCGCAATACTTTCCAATTGCGCTGCGGCCATTCCCTGTCTCTTTCTTTTTCACCGATTCCGTTTAACCATCGCCGCGTTTCATGTATGGCATACATTCGCTGAATAATCATAATAATGAATAAAAGTAATAAAGGAAGATTATCTGTTCAATCGATTATGTCAGATATGCTAAGATGACCCCCATATACTCGGATTTTTTGGCGGGAATTAGAATTATACTAGAGAGCAAACGAACCCAAGACTGTTAATCAGTTTTTGCTGATTTGCTGAGAATTGCGGAAGAAGAAGAAGAAAACAAACGAAGCGCCTTCAATGCCCTGTACAAAAAGCAGGTCCGCTCGGGGGAATACAAGTCACCGTTCGTAATTAATCGCCTTTCATTACTTCAGATTTGTATCGGACTTCAAGTCATCTCTGCAATCTTTGTAATCGGCAGACGTAATGAAAAACAACTACAAGAAAACAGTCCTGAACAAACGAACTATTCCCGTGATTGAAGTAAGATTAACGCATTTCGGAAAAACAATAATTAATTCTGGGAACAAATTTGTTGATTCTAGAAGAGATTAATTATATCTTAGAAAGAGTTAGCTCAGAAGGAAGTCGCTTCTGCCACTCGACATCTTTAGGGCGATAATAGAGGAAAAGAAATAGATCACGAAATGACTTGTCATTCATAGCGGACTATTTCATTGATCAAGAAGGGGTTTGCTCTTCATAGTTGTTCGTAATCAAGTGAACCACGACTTACGAATCGATCAAGATAGTGCAACGTCAGGGTAAATTTACATCTGTTCAAGTATATTCCAAACTTATTCCTCCTTATACAAATATGAAAGTCATAAATCAAACTTAATAATAATTCTAAAAAAAAATCCTTTTAATTGTAATTTCAATTTTAATTATTTCCATTTTTATTGCATAAAAAACTTTTACAAATTCTTTTACACTTAAGAAGCGAAAAATTTAACGACCTTGCCTATGGATTTTATTTTTAAAAACATCATAGCTCGTTACAATTGCATAATCAAACTGTCACTTTAAATTCGCTTATGTACAACACTTAAGCCGATATTCAAATAAAGTTTTACGAGCTCTCTTAGCAAGCATTTTTAGAAAAACGATTAAAAGAGAATTATTTAAAAAAAAACAATTATTATTAATAATGAAAATTTTAATAATAAAAATAATACATTTACTTCCAAATAAAAACCATAATAAAATTAATTAATTAATACATAAATATTTTGCCAAATTAACAACGTTGCACACGGTGAACAAAAGTGAGTGAGAAAAAAAAATTTATGTATAAAAAAAAAAAATATTTAAAATTGAATTTTTATTTATGATTTTTTCACTGAATGTAATAGCAGCCAAAATATCTGCTTTGGACGATTTATGTTGAACATAATTTGTGTTATAAATTTTTTGGTTTTTTTTTTTTTTTTTTTCTTATTTATAGTTCATATTTTTCGTCTTTCAGTTGACTTAAGCAAGTTGTTATGAACACAAGCGCGACACTTTAAAACATTACATATATATATATATATTATGTATATATAAAATATATATATATATATATATATTTTTTTTTTTGAAATTCATAGAATTTATGGCGATTAGTTAGTTAAATAAAAATATATACAATAATAAATAATAAAAAGGAAGAGAATAGTTAGAGTTACAAATATAAAGTTTAGTTATATTATATGTGTAAGTGTATAAAAAACATCTATAGTTAATTAATTGCAATCTATATTAAATTATACGTG